GACATATCAAAAGGTAATTTCTTGATCTTTAATGCCAAACTGCACCTAAAATGTAGATGCAGATCTCTTTAATTTCTATCCTGATTTTCTTTCTCAAAAGTTTTCACTTTCTTTCTTCCACTCACAGAAACAAATATGTATTGAAATATGTGGCTACAGTAGAGCAGAAAGATAATTTTGGACAAAATATGTAACAAGGACAATAGGAAAAATCCTTTTAAAGAGAATACTGCTGTAATTTACAATGTAATTTAAGCTACATCCAAAAATTTTGGAAATAAATTATGGAAGAGAAATGTTTTGTTTCTTTGAGTTCTGTGTTTGGCTTTCATTGGTGTGTGTGTGTGTGTGTGTGTGTATATTCATCTGAATCCTAGTCGGTATTTTTGTGTGTCTGGTAGTGTCCATGTGTTTGATTCCTGAAGATGTTAATGAGACGATATTATGTGTGCACACCCACACACCAAGACAAAAACATGTGAGTTCTACCTGACCAAAAAAAAAAAAAAACAAGACAAAACTCAAAGTAATGGAACTTTTTCTTCCATAAATCATTTCCAAAATTTCTGATGAAATTTAAAAGTGAAACATTTTAAATTTATAAACATTTCCTATTTGTTCTATAATTCTGTTGGGTTTTAATCCACAATTGATCCTGATTCATGCCATAAGCTATAGTAGCTCCAAACAATATTTCGTCTAAATGTATATGTATCAGTAAATGGTGTATGTATGTTTGGATTTTTACAAACTGATTTGCATTTGTTGATACTCATATTTTTTAGATTGGAGTGATAAGTGTCACATTCCTGTATTTAAATATGGCATCAGAGTAAGAGAAGCCTTTCACATAACACTGAGTTACTACAAAGCACAATAGTAACAATGTTAATTGACTACACACATTCATGTGCTCATATATATATAGAAAAAAAGAAAGATGTAAAACGTCTACATTTGTTACTTTGAAGCACAAGATAGGAGAATTCATTATCCTTTGATGGACAAATGAATTCACTTCATGAAGGAAGAAGAAATGAGCTTTTTTTGTTTCATTTATGAAGTGATATTTTCAAATATTTAAATGGGATCATTCTGAAACAATTTGATTTTAATGTGAATTTCACACATTAAACATTGTTGTTGACTCATTCTGACTGAATTATTTTTAGACTTCTTATATTTGCTGGCAGATATTTCTTTGGAAATATTAAAAAGTGAAGAAAAAAAGTTTTCTTTCTGTTATTGTCCACAAAGATAAAATAAAAATGAACGAGAGATTTTGAATAAGGTAATTATTGAAACTATATCTATATACTTTGAAAACAAAGATGTTTTGCCTTCACTAAAGAGATAACATTCTAATAATTTTCATCAAAAACTTATTTGATCATGAAATGTTGCTAAAATTTACAAATGCTTTTAACTATTCATGGTGATGTATTTTTTAAATAATTTTTTTTAACCTAAGCTAAAAAAAAAAAAAAGAAGGATCTTTTTAAAGATTACTTATTGTACTGCTATGTAATCAAAGGATAAACAACATTTGAATCTAGAATGTAAAAAGTATTCAGCAATTTGTATTTAGTAACTGATCGATCAAACAAATTAGCTGATACCAGACAAGTAATTTTGCATGAAGAGTCAAGAGTTTGATGACCACTGTTGATTTAGTAATAAGTATTCAACTTTGGATAAAAACTTTTAGGTTAAAAATAAAGTTGTCATGAAATAATTATATTTACACATGTAAGATTTTGTTTCTAGTGAAAAAAAAAAAAACAAACAAAAAAAAAACCTTAAACCTTTCCATGCATCTATTTGAGAAAGTGTTACAAAGTGGTAAAATTCACCCAATAATTCAAAAGTTTAAATATTTAACAAAGAAACAAGAAATATAACCAAACCAACATAGGCAGATGGATTTTAATTAACCAGAGAAAATGTTAGTTACAAAGATTTTCTAAATAAAAATACTTTAGTATCTGCCTTTGGGAGAGTGAGATTATAACACCAACATGGCCTCTTTTTTTTTTTCTTCAATTATTTATATTGATACTTGGTCTGTTATAGAAGAATTAATGAATTTATTTTTAATCTGACACTTTTTATTATTGCTTCAAAATATTATTTTAGTAAATGCTTGTATGTGAAATAGACACCCCATTTTTATTATTATTTTAAATGGGCCAATAGATGTGATATATACTGTTTAAAGTAAAAATAAAAATGGTGCATCTATTTCAAATGCAAGTATGTATTATAATAACATTTGAAATAATATATATATATTTTAGTGGACACTGAAGTCAATACCAAGGAACAGCAGTCTGTGGCATACTTGAACACAGTCTTCAGACCACTGAAAGAAATAAGATGGCCTGAAGATTGTAGTCAAGCATGAAACAGACTGTGATTGCACAATGTTGACCTCAGTGTCATCTGTTATATTTACATACACTCTTATCATTGACACTGAGCACTTTTACACAAATATAGCATACCATAAAACTATATATTTATCACCCATTTTATATATATATATATATATATATATATATATATATATATATATATATATGAACAGACCAACTACACATTTTTAGATTTAAATTAGTTTTGAGGTTCCCTTTTTTTTTTCTTTTTTTTAAATCCTTTCTTTCCATACTGGCTAAGATTTTTTTTCTTTTTATTAAATGCATCATTTTTTTTTCTCTTCACACCACCCAAAATCTCTAGCATCTACATTTTAACACCAAAGAGGATGGGGACATACACTGCAGATGTTCCTTTATAACACACTCATCTTTGATATTGTCCATTTTTCACATTTGAAAATCAGTCTCCTAAATAAAGATTAAAAGCAAAAAAGAAAAATATGAATGATACAGGTATTGAGGAATTATCAATACCCAACACAGCAAAGATAAGGATAATAATCCCCCAACAAAAAAAGAAATAAACAGCACTTTTTTTTTGAAAGAAATAAGAGGCTGACTTTTTTTTTTTTTGAAAGAAATAAGAGGCTGACTTTTTTTTTTTTGAAAGAAATAAGAGGCTGACTTTTTTTTTTTGAAAGAAATAAGAGGCTGACTTTTAGTTAAGACAGCATCTCCTACTTCATTTAGTTCCATGTTGTGTGTAATTCAACTTTTTTCTTCTTAAGTACAAATGAACCACTTATATAATCATCTGACTTGGTAATAATAGTCTCTCTACACACCACTCTTTATATATTCAATAATATACACGCCAAGAAAAAAAAAAGAAAGGAAATTGCAAGAACAGAAGCTCAACATATCACAGTTACAGCTAATTTTGTAAGTAACTTGTAACACTGACTAAGCAGTTTCTTGTATCCCTGGGCGACCCCCCTAACAGAGCCGAGCAGTCACAAGACAGTATCACTGAAGAAATGAATCACAGCCAAATATTCTGTACCTACACAAATAACTGATGGGAGATATACACATTTAATCTCTATGTGCAGGAGAGTGTAAGGGCCAATAATGTTGAGGTGGATATGTGAAAGAAGTCCTCAAGCTGAATAGGCCCAGATTAACCATTTCCACATACGGTTTGCATAGATAAAAATATTTCTATGTGTGTTTATATGTGTATGTGTGTACACGCACATACACACATGCAAATGGGATCACAAACTATTTGTAAATACTATGTACATATGCAAATATATACATACTGTATTATGGAGAGGGTTCATGTTTAGGTATGTAAGATCGTAGTCAAAGAAAATATTTCAGCAACTTAAACCACAAGCATGCTTTCGTTTTAGGCTAAGTTTAAATTGCCAAAATATTTTCTTTGATCTTAAATTTCTCTGGTGTGCACACTGAGCAATTCTATTATTTTTTTTTTTTTGTTTATAATTTCTGATGAAGATATATATCTCTGATGTGCCTTAGACCAACTCGGCCATGTAGGACCTCCTGATCAAACAAAGCTTGGATAGTGCTTTTGAACACATATCTTCCCAATTCTCGAAATATACATATCTGCTCTGTTTCATATCCTAACATAAACAAAAGACAATTTTTGGGGAAATGGATTAAATCTGATAATTCTAATTTATTTGTTGGATTTAATCCATTTCCTAGAAAATTGTCTTTGGAAATATCTCACATATTAAAGTCTTATCATGTATACTGTATTCATACACATGTTCTCTTTATATATATGTATTGTTTTCCATTGCTTTCAAGTATAAACAAATTATGTTTGCAAAGAATGAAAAAAAGAAAAATTAGTAAAAGTCTTTTTGTTTTTATACAAGTCCATTGTAGGCTTTTAACTTTTGAACATGTTAAAAAGAGAAGCAGCATGTTGAAGGAATAATGTTGACATGCAGAGGCTAGTTAAAAAAAAAAAGTAAAAGAAAAAAAGAAAGAAAGAAAGAAAGAAAGAAAGAAAGAAGTAAGAAACAATTCTCGAACTTAAATGCTTCTCATCAAAGTTCAAGTTTTGTTATCAGCACAGTAAAAATTTCGGCAGTAGAACAAGAACCAAATGTGTGTTATAGCCACAACAAAAGCAGAATGAAAGACAAACACAGAATCTGTAGGCAATTGAAAATGCCACCATGAATTGAACTGAGCCACACTTTTGTCAAGACAAACTCGAGTTTGTCTATAGATGTCTTTTTTTTTTTTTGTTATTTCACAGGTTATAAAGGTGGGATAATAGTTTGAACAAACTTGTCATGGTGAGTCTAAAGCAAATTTTCATTGTTTTCTCATTGTGTCGAGGCACTGAGGTATGTATGGATTTGTATTTGTCCAGTGTCTTTTGATGATTTATTTTCTTAGCTCATGCCAGTTCCAAAGACTACGTTAGTCTTAAGTCAGTTCTTTGCAGATCATTTGAAAATATTTTTTTTATTTTTCATTGAAAGATGTGCGTATATATAGCAATGCTGGCTGGATGTATGACAAGAAGCAAGGAGTCATCACTGGTCCACAAAGTCTGGCATCACCAAAGTTTCAGCAGGCAAAGTTTGTTGAATCTCTTGATGTAAACGAAGTGCATACAGAATCTGTTGAGATACCTGTCAGGAGAGAGAGAGAAAAATGGATCAAGGGTGATTTTGTAATTATCTTCAAATAGTTGAGAAAATGATGTTAAGAAAGAATGATGGAAAATTATATTTTCATTTTGTCTATTGACATAACCAGTCTTTCCTTTGATACTGTCAAAAGATTTTACAGGAAAACACATGAAGGAATAAATGGATATAAAAATACCTCTATGTAAGAGCTGATTACAGGGAAACTTGAATTGCTTGTGTTGTAACCTAGGGAAAGTTACTGAATAGAATAATCACACAAAGGTTGGTAATGAACAATAATACTTAGGACAAGAACAACACATATAAGATTTGCCAGCGGCGCATGAATCTACAACTGCAGATCAACATACATTATTTACTACTATTTATGTGAAAGGAGACATAGCCATTATTGACCATAGGCATGGTACAACAGCTTGTAAGCACAATACTTTTTAGTTTTCACTTTGATGAGCTTGTAGAAGATCTTTTCAACAGTGAGACTAGTGAATACCAGTTATATAATGTCAGTTAACACACACACACTATATATATATATATATATATATATATATATATATATATATGGGGTGGGTTTAAAAAAAATAAATATAAAATAATAATAATAAAAAAAGAAAATGAAATACTACATGCACATATAAACATATGCACAAAAACACACATCCACACAATTTATATATTTCCAACTACAAAAATGTACATCAAAGTAATTATAATATACAAATGTACACACAAATACCATGGCACTATTTACATTATTGCCAAAGAGTATGAGTTCAATACCTGGTTAAAACGTTTCGTTAGTGTCTTTTTACAAATATTTTTTTATTTATATCTGAACTTTTACACAGATACACACACATTATTACACTGGTCAGGCCCCAACAATTCCAAAAAACACATTATATATATATATATATATATATATATATATATATATATATATATATAGGAAGTGTCAGTAGATATAAAGCTTACTTACCCGTTGAGCAATAGCAAAAGTATCGTGATCGGATGTAAGGTGGACTTTTCAGAGAATACTTCTTTACAAATTTAACATAGTAGCAATCATCTGAATTATAAAACAGAGTTATTGATGAAACTGTTATATAAGGGAAAGAATTATAGGTAATTTTATTATAACACAGATATGCATCGAGTTGTTTAGTGAAATAAAGGTGTTCTAATCGAAATAAAGTTTCCTTTCTTTTTCTGTCTAATTGCGTTATGAGAAATTGATATCAAAAACATTAAGTCAAAAGAGACATTCATTTTTTTTCTTTGTCACATTTGCATACACATTTCATGCACTAAATCTAACAGTTGTAGTGGGACAGAGATCACATTTGTTAGATATTCAATGCTTCAATAGTACTGTTGCTCCTTAAAGTTTTCCTCATAGTCATAGTAGTGAGCTATAGATGAATATTAAGAAGTTATTTTAATGATGGCACAATTTCAATTAACCTAAACTTGAATATACTGATAATTAGCAGCAAAAAAGGGAAGAAAACCAACCTAATTTTATAGGCCAATAGGAACAAAAAACAGCAACTGACCAATCAAAGTTGGATCTCCACAGAATAGAAACAAGTCTCCATTATTGAAATCTTATAGAAGTTCTATTCAAACAGCTCAACAACTTTGTAGCTTTTAAAGACTCAACTTATTTGGACCTTTGTTAGATTCTGTCACATAGTTTAACAATTACATTGACCGACTTTTGATAAATAACATGTTATGCTATTTTGAAAATATTTTAAAGTTTTGAAATGAAACCAAGAATAAGCATGATTTATTAAGTGGATGAAATGCTTATGATCAAATCATGCAGAAGACACTGATTCCCATTCAATCACCAGAGTTAAGCAGCATTGAACCTGGTTACTACTTAGATGGGGGACTGCTTGGTACTGCAGATAATGGCAGAGGTGATATCATTGTGATATGATTCAAGCATTAATGACACCATCAGTGTCTCATTGTCAAAACTACTTGAATCTTACACAGGGAAGACAGTCTCCAGTTATCTTGATTGGATCAGGGATGTCTGATGTTGAAAGTTCATAAGCTATAAATAATTGTGTAGGTACCAGTGGGCTTTCAGAGGTTGTGTGGGGAATCGTCTCATCTGCCACAGCCTGTTTGCTGACTGTCCTCATACAGTGAGTGGGCAACCACCTCTCTTTCACTCACTCACACACACACATCCCTCCTTGCATACTGCCACCTTCAGTTAAAAAGCCTGGCAATCTGGATTCTCTGGCTCTCTAGCCTTGAGTTGCAACCAATGTAAGAGAAGAAAAACTGAATTCAAACTGGATAGGCAGATGTGCAAGAAGAGCATTCTTTGCATCAAAGTTTGTTCTGGTGTTCATTTACTGCAACTGATTCTCCACTCCCCTGCCCCCAAACCTTACCACTACATCCTGGTAAAGCATCTAAAGAGGGTCAAGTCTGGACCTGTGCAATCACTAAAAAAAAAAAAAAAAAAAAAAAAAAACTACTTATGCCCATTAGGACAGGTTAGTTTTGGGATTGTGTACACTCAATTTGAAAGTTGATGTTTGACGTGTTAAATAATGACAAAATAGTTTTGTCCAAATTGTTGTTTTTTGAGGAAATGAGTTTAAAGATTAAGTTTAGGTTCAAAATCATAACATTTGAATTTAATTCCAGTGATCAGTGAAAGCCTTATAGCATAGTTTTATAAAATTTATAATTTACTGAAGCTTCACAAATTGTATATGGACAAGATGCATGGCACAAGCACATTATTATTAAATCATTGTACCATCAAATATGGCCATTTACTTCAAAGGGAAATTATACTGAACAATTTTGACTATATTATGATGCAATATGTTATACAGTGCAGTAGTTTAGTGTAATTTTCAATAAACAATGCAAATTTAAAACCTTTTGTCTTAGAATTTGTACCCAGCATTATTATGGTATTATATACACTTTTATCTATTTTTGTTTTTATTAATTATGATCTAAAAAATGTTATTCATTGAGTAGCCTTTTTTGTAATTTTTTGTCATCTTTTACAATTTTTTTGACAGTTTTAACTTTTTGAATACAGTTGAAAAATGCATATTTTGCTTGTGGCGATCCATAATTAGAATTCTGGTTTGAATATATTTTACATTCAACGTATCTAATACCAAAAATATCATTATTTGGATTTATTCTTGAAATAGTAAAATTTTGAAGTCAATTTGTAAGCAAAAGCCTGGGGAAATTAGGTATTTCTGTACATTTTTTTTCAGGTGATCTTCAAAACTAAATGCTCAAAAATTGGTAAAAGGTATTAATCTAATTTTTGGTGTCAGTACTTATCACATCAAAATTCAGTTTTCACACTGAGTATAATGTTGATTTTCTAAAAAAAAGTGAAAAATCAACCTGCCCTAATGCACATACAAAACCATCATCATCTTTCCTTAGATTAGTGATGATTATATATATTGATATTTTGGGTCTTGGAAAATTTATTTTTGTACTTGTTCAACCCAATACTCACCTACATAAAAAAAAAAAAAATCATCATTTTCACCTGTAATGATAAAAATACCTTTTTCCCAACTATTAACAAATAAGATTGTCCACTACTATTTTTATGCACCATTTTCCTTCAGGATGTTGGTAATCATGTCCCCACCCAATTTCCTACCTTTTGTAGATCTAGGCAATGTTGGTCTTATATATATCCCTTCCAGTCTCTGTCATCCATTTACACAAGTTTGTTAGGCAGTTTACTCAATGCTTCCCTCTGTTTCTCTTGCCCTGTTCAATTGATGTATTTTATGAGATGATACTACAGAGTGTCCCTAAAGTCTGGACACATAGGAAATCTCATTGACTATAGTTTTTTGTTTTTTTTACTTCCACAGATTAAACATGGTTTTCTTGAAAGAAAGAAAGAATTGACTTCTTTTTCTGGGGTATGCTGAAGGAGGTGTACTCAATGAAAATCACAGATGCAACAGACTTGATTGAACACATAAAAAGTGAATATGCTAAAATTGATGGCATTGTGGAGTTACTGCATAGAGTTCATGTGAATCTTGCAAACAGTGTCAAACTTTGCATCACAAATGATGGAAATCACATTTTTTTCTTAATATTCCAATAAAATGTTGTTGAAAATTTCATTTCTTGAAAATATGCATTTTTACCTATGTGCCCAGACTTTAGGAACACCCTGTAGACAATTTCCTACATCCATATTAGGTTTATTCATAATTTAAGGAGAAATATTTTCAGTGATATTTTTTATTAATAATCTTTTCAAAATTCTAGAAAAGACACTTTTTTCAAGACAAAATGCAGTAAAATAAGTTAATAATGTTCATAAATTAATCTACTCGAACAGATATTTTTTTTTTACAGAGAAGAAATAATTTAGATTAGATAACCAAACTACTGTGAATAATATTGAAAAGTATCAAAAACTTCAGAATCTCAAAAGAGAATTAGTATTAAATACTAAAAATGACTTTTTCATAATATATTGATACTGATGATACTTACTTTTTGAAACAGGCATGCAGAATTGGATGTCTCGATGGTAGATTTGGTAATCAATCTGTTGTTCAGAGCCTTTATCACACATCAAAAAGTAAACCTTTTGGTTTGTAATCAGAGCACAAAGCCTTCCATTAACTTCTTTACGCACTTGTTCCCAAGCAATGAAGCTGAGAGAAAAAAAAACAAAAAACAAAGACACACAAAAGTTTAATATTTTTAACTAAAATACATTAGTAGACATACAACAAAACACTCAGTATTTCACCAACTAGACACATAACTCTGCATTCTATCTATTCTTATTAGTGTTGGTGTACACAAAAACTATGAAATGTCCACCATACTTTCCCAAGGGGAATGAAAAGTGAAATTAATGCCAGAGTGGAAAATGAAAATATGGATTCTGTTTTCAATAATTTGGTTATTTATTAAGGGATTCACTTGCACAGTCTAACGAGCAGGTAGATGAAACGTGGGACAAGTTCTGCCATCAACTCTTCCCTTCAACAAGCAAGAACTCTGTCTCCTACCAAACTGCACTATCTCTACATCACAACACATGACTAGCAACCGACAGCATCAAACTACCTCAACAAACAGTTTCATCCCAAAAAATGAGCAGTTCAGAACTACCTTTAATCCCAACTGTGACTGTATATATGCAAATTTTTAATGAAAATGCACCCTCTGACCTGTAACCCTCTTTGCAAGAGAAACTGTCATTTAATACAACATGCTTTGACTGCACTTTGTAGCCAAGTGGTTAAAACATGTTGGTTTAAAAAGCACTTTCTCTTGCAAAGGGGGGGGTGTGAAGGTTAAAATCATGTCAGAGTGTGCATTTTCTTTAACAAGTTTTCCAATAAGAAGCCAAAATACAACACACATGGCCTGAAGATTGTGTTTAAGCATGAAATGGACTGTAGCTGCTGGGTGTTGACCTCAATGTCCACTTTTATGCTCTATTGATGATATTGAGCATTTTTACCCATAAATATAGCACAGCTTAAAACCATATATATTTTCACACATATACAATCAGATAACATAATCAATAACAAACAATTATTTCACTATCCCCACTAAATTTTAATGGTTTTACTAATGTTGCAATCTAAGATATTAAAATATATAGTCATTTAATGCTGAAAAAGAAAAAATAAATAAAACACTCACAGTTCATCAAGTTGGTTTCCATTTAATAAATGAATATTCATTTGCTGTTTGGCATGGTTCAAGTTGTAGTGTGGCAGCAGGCCACCAAGTCCATGACAACATCGAGGTTCTCTCACACGTACTTGGATCTTATGAGAACGACGACTTGTCTCACGAGCAGCAGTTGCTGCTGCAGTAGCAAAATCAAGCACTCCAGCTACTGGCTTGATTACGGTCCCAACCAAACCTTTGCTCAGGCCTGTGATAAAACCCTGTGTAAAATTTAAAACAAAAATACCAGTTTTTAAAAATGTTTTCTGGAATTAAAAAAGGAAGATTTCAAAGACATGAAGGATACGCATGCAGGTGAAAAGTAGCAGTTTAGTTGCAATTATTTTGAAGGGATAGAAAAAAGGAATATGTAAAAAAGAAAAGAAAAAAAACATCTGTCCCATAATAGTTGTTACATTTAGTGCATGAAATATGCATCAAAATTTAACAACTATTATGGGACAGAGACTGTAAAGAGTATATTTTATCATGTTTTTAAAAGCATAAAAATTATTCTTAAGTGATATCACAGGAATGCTCATAATAGCTTTTCAGCTGTACAGACTTACTGAATTCAACATTGATTAAATTTCCAAATGAAGGAAATGAAAATCCATGGAGAAAATCTTACAATTTTTACATATGAAGGCATTTTGCATATCAACTGTATGTATTTATATAAACCAGCATCATTTTCAACCTTGGCAAAAATATGTCTACTTGTTTTTATTTACAAAGCCAAGAGAGAATTAATTGCTAACATCCCCTCAAACAATGAACCATTATCTAGGAAGTTCTAGGAAAAAAAAAAACAAAAACAAAAAAACTAACCCCCAGGCCATCATCCCTGGCACCCTCATAGCTTTGGTTGACCACACTGGTCAGGCCCCCAACAATTCCAAAAACAAGACTTTTGCAACCGGCCTTCAAGTGATCAGAAGAATGGCCAGTTGCATGTTCTGACATGATTTGAGTTCTCTTCTTTGAGTGTTTCTCATCCATTGTAACAATTGTCAAGCCATCAGATAGGGAGCTTGTTACCTGAAACAAAGAGAAAAGAAAACTAAACAAAAATGTCTTAGCACATTAGGTATTTAACTAAGCTTGGATTATTTTAGCACAAGCATGGGGTGCACAGTGAAGATTGAACTCACAATGATTTGTGAGGTGAACTTGCTAACTACTGTTCCATGGCAAGATGATTTTCTAGGTACATTAGAAAATGAAAAAAAAAAAAAAAGAGAAAAATCTTTTTTTTATTTTGCATATGTTTGGTCATCAGAATGAAGTGGTTGCTGTCACAATTTGCAATGTGTTCACAATTACTTGTTGATAAAACTGACATAGTTTATATGAACAGATAAATGAAAAAGCATGATAAAATAAAGTGTGTGTGTGTGGGGGGGAATAGTCAAAACCTACTAATAAAAAATGTGTAATAATGAGGTACCTTTAGCTTAACTAAAAAACAACTGCATAGTAAATGGATTAAGAAAACAAAATGAATGCAAATAGTTGTAAAAATATATTTGTTTATTTTACAGCATATCAACACCTTATGGGTCATTTAATGTTGAAATTTAATTTTGTCTGGAGCATAAGTAATTTCTTTTGTATTTTTTTATTAGACAAATGTATTGCCGCTAATTTTCTTTTTTCTTTTTAACAAAAATATATTGCTGCTAATATTTTCTTATCCTTACAGAAATGTATTGTGTGTAATTTTTTTTTTTTTTTTTTTTTTATTATGAAAGCGTATTGCTGGTATTTTTACTATAAAATTTTTAAATACTTTCATAGTGTTTTCACTCAAGTTTGGGGGTTAACTATTTGTCCATAGCTGGAATCCTAACAGGGTCAGGGTGGACCTGAGAACAACAACAATTAAAAAGTAGTTCCACACTTCTCAAAACCTCTTGATCAGAGGCCTTGGTGCTGGATGTAGTTTATGGTCATATCCAGGACATGTAAAAATATATGGAACACTTCAAGTGATAAAGATTCCAAACTAATGTAAAATGTTGAAAATACTATTTTACCTAAAAATCCTCAACTTTATTATTTACTGAAAGATACTGACTAACCAAAGTTTTGTTTTAATTATTTTTCTTTACAAGCTGCAATATAAAAACTTTGCACTTGAAGATTCAGCATATTTAGAATACTTTACACAGAATATTTTAAAAGTAGAGAACTGTAAAGAGAGTACTAACCTTTGCAGTCGAATTGGATACACCATGTGTAACATTTTTCAGCAATCCACCAAAGTTTCCATCTTTGATCAAGCCAGAAATACCTTCTGTGAAATCATTAAATAAGCCAAGAGGGTTTCCCAAAAAGTCTATAGAACCAAGAATTTTGGCAGCTTGACCTCTCAACTCCTAGAATAATAAAAATAAGAAATGAACTCAGTTTTTATATTTTTCATAATATTAATTTTATTACAATATTACACAATATATATTTTCATTTGTAACAAACATGTTAATATGAAAAACAAATACTTATTAGCAATAATCTTGGTCTAGAACATCTTTAACACAATGCAATTATATACAGCATATTCAATTAATGTCTTTCAATAGCAGTTAAAGAGATTTAGTTTCTGAGGCCAGTTTGTAACTGCAAACTCAAAGCTTATTTTAGAAGTGTCATTTTTATTTTTTGCTATTATGTAATTGTTTTTAATGACTAACTAAAGTCATCTTAGTAGTCACTTTGTTGTATTAATAGAAATATTGAACGCCTATATGGACGTATATAAATTGGAAAGCAGTTTTTTATGAATTATTGCAATTGCAGCTTGAAAAATAAACATAATTAGGAATGTATATTAAATAAATCAAAAGAGGCAACGTCTACTTTTGAAAGGATGAAATGTACTTTTAAAAAAATAATCATAAAACAAAAGAAACAGAAACAAAATGGAAAATTTTATGATTTATGAGATATGACAAAATGTACCAAGATTTTGAAAATCATTAATTATAAACAGTTTCTTCCTTGAAAGATATAGATGACAAAAAAGTAGTTTAATGGTTGAATTTTTCTTTATCCTTTTCAATATTGGTGATAAGAATTTTTTTTTTATTCCTGATAAAAATTCAAACATGAAAAAATCATTTTATGAATGCAACTCTTATAAGGAAACCAAGTGATAGAATTAGCAGTTATCTTTAAAAATCTGAATCTCATTTTGAGAAGAGTTGAAGGAGGAAAAAGATTCTTAAGACTTGTTAGCATTTCATATCAGATCTCTGAAATAGAAGCTCATTCTTAAATTTATAAAAAGATAGCAATTTTACAATTCTAAAAAGACAATGAAGTTCTATTTTCATAAAGCTTTATGGAAGCATATGAGAAAAAATAATTTAATTATTCTTTATAAATTAAGAAATGTTAAGAATACTTATTTCTAAAGTTATGGAAAAATTTTGACGGAAACTCACATCAGTATAGTGGGATTTTATTTCATTGATCAAGAAAGTGCTGGTCTCAAATACATGTTGACGATTATAAGACCCTGAAATATGAATGAAAAATACATGAAAGCATTTTTACATTGATTGATTTGCTTTTTACGACTTACCTTTTGCAGGTTATTTAAAGGCAGAAAATAAATTTTAGAGTGTAAGAATTTTTTGAAGATAATGATTTACCAATACAAGTTCTACTAATTAACCCATAGCAAGTGAGAAAGAAATAGATTTATACTGTAGGGTATTTATGCATGTAAATGTAACAAACTCAATTGGAATTGGAGCTCTGCTCTCTGAATTCCAATTCCAAGTCATTTTCCATTGCACCACCTGCACATCCAAGCTTACAGCACCTGGGATTCTGAAGTGGTTACTCATTTAGGTACTGACTGGGCAGGAAATTGCTTAACTTCAGTGATCATACAAGAACCGGTGTTTCAATTTGACATTTTTAAAAACTTTTGATATAAAAAATGCACACTGTTCAACAGAGAACCTTCAGAAAGAAATTTCAAACAAATATTAACAATTACAATCTTACATTTTTAATCAAGGCAAAAAAGCCACTAAGACACAAGGGGTGGGGTGACAATGTAAGACAAAAAAAGACTATTAGGGAGATCAAACAATAAAAGAACAGGAATTAAGAGGACAGAAGATAAAAAATCGATATTGCATTTAAATTTTTGAAGATCAAAGTTGACTGGGAAACAAGGATCCAAAACAGTTCCACTAGTGAGAATTGCAAGAGCAGAAATATAATAAAAGACTTTATATATATATATATATATATATATATATATACACACAGTTAAATTAGTATGTAATATACTAACCCAGATCAACTGTTGCATCTTCAAAACTAATCCAATGAAGAGACATTTTATTTTTGATAACTTTCAAATCTGGAGACAGGTTAGGTGATGTCAGCATGCTGAGGGAGATCCGACGTGTATTTAGCCGTAGCAGGCCAAAAAAATATCGATGGTTCTGAGGAGGACTGGCAGCTGCCTGTAACACAGGGCTACAAAGAGAAATGAAACTGTCACAACAGAGAGAAACACAGCAAGACTTCTTTTTTAACAAATATACAGAATAAGACAAAAACAAACAAACCAAAATCCCTTTGAGTAGAAAACAGCTCTCAAGTCTTGATCAAGTTATAAACAATCTGCAGCCAACTTTGTATGAACCTTGCTTAAGTTGTCTGCAGATTATCCATAACTGATATATAAAGTAACTCCTCAACTGAAAATCAAACTCTGCATTTTCATTAACATGATCATTGAAAGAACAAATATTGGCCATTGTTAATCTTATTCACATGTGAAGGAATAAAAAAAAAACACACTTAGAATAAGTTGAATTAACCACTTCTAAACAGAAAATATATCAAAATAATTAATTTCATCAATGATCTGCTGAAAAAATTCTTAACTTGATCAAGAAACCCTTAAAAAGAAAAAAAAGTGAATATGATTTTTGATCATTTGGTCAAACTTTTTGTTGTGGAATTATTTTGCAATAGAAGCTGGTATTTGTACTAAATCGGTCCTAAATAGTTCAACATACAAAATGTTAGGAACTTGATATAACAGGTATTACGCAGAGTAATCTTGTTGTGGTCGCTGACTACTTTCGTATTTGACTAACTGTCGTCTGACATCGACTGACCCTCATTTCTCTTACTACTACTACTTATATTAGGTGGGAGAGTCTATTAACTATAGAATAGGTGTGTTTCACCATAACACTTTTGGAAGTGGTTTGGGACCAAAAATATTTCCAAACTACTTCTAATATTCTAATATGTTTTTAACATGCATTTCTATCATTTTCTCCTATGGTTTACAATATATTTATAAACAAGTATCTGCATAGAAAAAATGGGCATGAACATTTCATTTCATAGTAAGTGAGAACAATTAATTTTGATTTCAACTTAAGCATACAGTTTAATGACTAATGCAACTCAATGTTTTCACAATAAAATTCTCTTTAACCAATGACTACTTTCTGTTTTTAACAGAAATATGTATAACTAGCTTAAAAGCCACCCTATTTGCAGAGGATTCTTGACTGGGCCTTCATCACATCAGGTGAGGAGTAGATGCAATATACAACAATAAACTACAGAAGAACCCAAAATTGATCGCTGCATTTAAGCATGTCATTATTATTTAAGTTTACCTTTTAAAAATTCAAAGATAATTCTTCTGCCACCACTTAATTTAAAGACAATTTGATGTACATAGGTCCTTATGTTCCATACAAACAATTATTTTTATTTCATGGGTGACTTTTGGTGGATTCCACAATTAACTTTGATTATTCCCAGACAACTTATTGTGAAAAAAAAAAAAAAAAAAAAATTGCTGAAAACAATTGCAGTAATGAAAACTTGGAAATCTAAAATTTCAGAATTGCAGGCTGGATCTGTGCCAGAACGTTTTTAATTTGCTCACAAAGTCAGTTTGATTCCAAAATGGTATGATATGTTGGACTACACATTCTAGGAGATAAGTTAAAATAGTGTGACATACTGACATTCACATTTATTATATAGATGACTAATTTAGTGTGGTTAATTTCATTATACAACTTAAAGATTGTTCATCATATTGAGTGTGTGTGCGTGTGTATATATATATATATATATATATATATATACTATAGTTATTGATATTTTTTATTTAAGATATATAAAGATTGTAAAAAAAAAAAGAAACAAGATATTGTAAAATTATTGAATTGTGGGAACAAGAAATCAGAGTCCAAGCAAAAAAAGAAAATGAAAATATCACAATAAGAACAAGAAAAAACTTTTTGCTTTAAGAATATTAGTGAATTGAGAAAATTAGAAGTAGAACCTTTAAGTAAATATCAGAGAAATATCTAAGTTGGCTGAAAATGTGCATGAAAGCCGATTTCTCAAAGGTATATTATAGTGATGAATGTAGAGCTACATTGGATGGACCTAATAGCTGAACTCAAGGGTGGAGCCTTCATAGAAATATTCAATCAAAACAGCTTAAAAACAACAGGGAGGGGAGATAAAATAAAAAGTTGATGATATCAAGATAAATGGAGAGAATTATTGTAAGTTCTTGAATAATATTTTTATTTTAGTGGTACAGGTCATAATCAAGAAGTGTTAAGCTAAAGAGTAGATTCATACAAGACAATGATTCTTCACATTCTGTAAAGGTGACTAACACCCACCATGCCAAAAAAAAAAAAAAAAAAATTTCAAAGACACAATATTAATGAAATGGCCTCCAGCCTCTCCAGATATTAATCCAATAGAAAACATGTGTTCCATCATTAAGAGTTATATATATCAGAATTAAAAACAATATTAAAGTAAAGGGGAGTGGTTCATTGATTAATGGCATATCAACCCTATTGGCTATTTAATACTGAAGATATTTTTTTACAAATATATGACATGTAAACAATATTTTATGTCATCGGTTCCATCAATCTCCAGTTAAAAGCAAAGAAAACCATTGGGAAACAATAAAAAAAAATGCTACAAATGATGTTAAAGTCAAAACAGTAGAAAAGTTAGTTGTTTTATAATTAATGAAAGACTGATGAAATATATAGAATGTCAAGGAACACACATTAACTTGTAAAATAATTTATTTTGTAACCTATATCCATTAATCTTTTCAAAATTCAAACTTTTTTTTCACTTACATTGTTTGTGCATTAAAAACTGAGACCCCCCCCCAAAACTAAAGCTTCTGATCAATATTTTAAATAAAAATACATGACATTTTTCATAAAATCACCAGTGATTCCCTTCCTTGAACAAATCACTGGTTATTTCATGATCTTCATTGAGCACAAAAAATAGATATGTATCTTTTCTTTTTAAAACCAATGTAGAAATACAATCCCCAGGTTACATATTGTTTGTATAAATCCTAAAAGTTAGGTACTACCAATTTTATTGCAAAACTCAGTTATGGATTAAATAGTAGAGCAGATTTTACTCTTTGGCCATGGTTGGCAAACAGTCTAAGAGAAGGACAAATTTGAATTCAAAACCATATACTATACAATCATGGAAAGGATTATAGAGTTCGTAACTGTGATGTGAGTTTGGGGACACTATGATCTTAACTGAAGTCAATGAGGTTGAGTGGGGTGAGATTTGCATAATAAAATCTGACAGTGTACAGGAGGGTGCTGAAAATTTCTCTGCTCAACTAAGGAATTCTGAAATAAATTTTTGGTTTGGTTGACCTGAGGAAATTTCAACACTCTCTTATATAGAAACATTTTTATAGGTTTCCCAATTAAAAAAAAAGTGTAGAAAAATGTTTTAACATCAAGTAATCAGATGCTAATTATCTCAAAAATGAGTGAAAAAAAAACCCATAGTTGTCAGCATAGATATAGTCACTTTCTAATATTATTGAATCAAACTGATCAAAGGTCAATACTAAAATTTATACATTTTATAGGAATTAACAAATGCATGCAAGCTATGCAGCGACATTTTAAAGTTAGTTGTTTGGGACAAATAGCCACAATGAACTTCAGATCAAAAAAATAAGTCCAAGGTTGTAATTATAAGTGTCAAGAATCACTTTTGCAAGTTCAATGTCAGAAAATACCAGAGGGCATAAATCAAAAGGGTAAAATGCAGGGTTGTCGAAGTCAGAAGCAATAAAGGGGTCACTAGAGTTAGAGTTGGTAAAACTATACAGACTCCAATTGAATTTACATGTAAAAAGTCTTACATTATAGAATTTTTTTTGTTTCTTCTACTGTATATTTATAAATTCCTTTCAAGAAATTCAACTCAACTTCTTTTTTAAAGTCATTTTATTTTTTGTAGTTATTTTCTATTTACAAAACTATATATGTAAAAAATTCTTACATTGTAGAATTTTTATTTTTGTTGTCTTTTAAATCCTGTAAAAGATTATATTTCACCTTCTGTTATAAAGTATTTTTATTTTTGTTCTGAACTTATTTCTTATTTAAAAAGATATATATATGCGAAAAGTCTTACATTATAGCATTTTTATTTTTATTGTTATTTCTTCTATATCATTTCAAAGATTTTGTCTGCTATTATAAAATATTGAAGAATGAATAGGTATGATATAAAAGCCACAATATCTTTATTCTTTGATAGAAGCCAGTTATAATGATATAGGCCTACTCAAGTTAGGAGCATATGCATAGGTTTTATGAGATTTGTAGGCCATAATCATTTAATTACATAAAGAGGAGTTGGAAGTGCCAAAAATAGAGGTGTCGGAATCAAAGGTTTTGTGTTCCGACTCCACAGCCCTGGTAAAAAGTTCACATAACAAATAACAACTACCACTTCACCCACAAAGAACTAAAAACAATTTGATGTTCTAAAGTAAAGTTCTTTTAACAAGGTAAGAAAGGTTGTGTCTGGTTGAGATTGGTAGGGAAAAAAGCAAACAATTACCATATTTTGAGGTCAACTAATGATACTCTGATCTTGATTCTAAGTAAGATTTGATTTTCACCTTTGTTGTCACATTGTTCAACATGATTCCTGAATGAACATTTATTAATCAAACATTTACAATTTTAAACTTGACTTCTTATTGATGAATTTTTAATCAGGGGAATTAATTCCTATTTATCTTTAAAGAAATTCAAAAGACTTATGAACTGTACCTGACATAGCTCAAAGCAGAAAAAAATAAGAGTGTGTGTGTGTGTGTGTGTGTAAAAATAGGACCTATAATCCTGACAAAGTTTAGAAGAAATATGACAAATGGAAAAAACATTTCAATGAAACTAGATTTGATTAAGCATTTTACTTTTCTAGGCTTCATGGGATCAAAAAACAAAAAGAAAGAAATATGTGCGTGCATATTTTTTTTCATTTTTTGATCTGGTGAAACCAGAAAGGCAAAACATGTAATAAAAATCTCATGGGATTCTAACAAAAAGGACTGATTCAAGACAATGACTGAAGTCAGTTGAAAGTACTATATATATATATATATATATATATATATA